GTTCTGACTCTAGAAAACCCCAGATGGGAGAGTGAGGCCTGGTCCCAGTCCTGAATCAGAGGGACCCCCCCACACTTGGAACGCCACCCCCCCCAAGTCATTCCTCTGGGTACCTCCACGGGACTCAGGGTTTCTGAGCTCTCCGCAGACGGGAAGACCACAGACCCTCTTCCCTGGGCTGTGGGAACGTGACCGGATTACTTATCACACATATGCATCTCTCTGCTAGCTGAGAAGAGACCTGAGCCTTTGACCCCTGTGTCCCCGGGGTCAAGTACAGCTGGTGATCCAAGGAGTCAAGGGTGGTCACATCTGGCTCCGGAGACCAGTACACTCGAGCCCTTCAGTGCCTGCCCGCTTCACTTCCTGAGCACACAGGTCTTCAGAGCCCAGGCTAGGTCCTGGGATGAGCAGCCCCCAGCCCAGGTCTTGGCTGGGGGCTGCAGCTCTGGTCCAGGCTGGCTCCCCCCACCTCCCTGCCCCCACACATCTGAGGATCTCAGGGGCCAGTGGCGGGCAAGCAATGCAGGAGGGGTCTGGGTGCTCTGGCAGCCCTGACTCTTCCCCTGGCTGGCAGAGTGGAATCTCCGATCCGCACAGCTCTGAGCCCGCCCCTCCAAGCTGCGCGGCACCGGGCTGGGCCGCACCCTGTCCTCCCCACTGCCCAGGATTCTGGCTTCCAGCTGGGGCTGTAAACTGTGAGGGGACCCATGGCTGGCTCTGGTCAGGAGCACGGCTGGGGGGAGCAGACAGGGCTCCACTGCCGGGAGGGTGGGTGTCCTAGGGCCCTGCTTGTGGGCCGCTGGTAGAGCAGGCAGGCGCCGGGAGCACTTAAGCCCTAAGGAAAGGAGCAAGGAGGTAGAGAGAAGGGCTCCGTGGAAATGACGTGTCAGTAGAATTGGGGAGCTAAGACTCCTGCCCTTCTGCTTCCATCTCGGTTCTTGCTTCTCCCCAGGCGATTCCACACAGTCGACTGGGTCTTCCCTTAGGTGGAGAAAACCCAAAGCTGTTTCTGACACTTTAGTCCAAGCCCAGGAGAATCCCTGATCGCCGAGGGGCCGGGGTCGCCCTGGGGAGGAATCAGCGGCTTCTGTCGGCTGGTCTGAGCAAGACAGCACTCGCCGGCTACCCGTAGTACCCAACTTCAGGCCGAGGCCCCATTTCTACCGTGCAGTCCGCCAAGTTTTCAGCAGGGGAAGCCCGTCGGGAGAGCAGGAGCCACGACTGGGCTTGAAAGAGACCTGGGGCCTCTGCGCACAGTGCGAAGGAGCCGGGACGCCGCCGACTCAGCTGGGGGAGATGGGGAGCAGAGACAAAAGGCAAGGACAGGGCCCGCGGGTTGATCCAGAGGGTGGGGGTGGGGTGGGGAATTAATGTGCAGCAAACCAAGAGGAGGAGGAGGAGGAGATGGGAAACCAGGTTCGTGGCCTGAGCAACCCTGCTCCCAGATCAGAGAGCGCAGCCTGTGGCCTGGGTCCAAGCCCAAATCTCAGCAGCTGCGGACAACTCTGGGCACCCGCCTTGGCCCTGGTGGTGTGGGCTGTGATGCCGGCAGGAGCACCGGGTGACTTGCCAGGATTCTGTGCGTCCCGGGGGCCAGGTGAGCCATGCACCCGAAGGTGGGTCCCCGGCTCACCCTTCTGCTTGGAGACGTGGCCTTTGAGCCGCCCCGGGAATGCGGCCCTGGGCACAGTCCCAACTCAACTCTGAACACCAGCTGGAGAGTCCCAGAAGCTCAGAGGTCTCCATTCTGACAAAGGGGAGGAGAAAGGTGTGGAGAAGAGGTTTGGCACAGGGAAGGCGGGGAGTGGGAAACAGGGAGGAGGGGATGACCTGCTGTTCCCGAAATTTGGAGTCTGGGGTGGGTCTGCAGGACCTGTGATGGAAGAGGATTCCTAAGTGATGGAAGAGAATTTCCTAAGTGATGGAAGAGAATTTCCTAAGTGCGCTCTGAAGGAGGACAGGGTCTGGGCCTGGAACAAGGACCCTCTCGCCTACGGGCAGTCGCCCGACAGCGGTGCAAGAACGCAGCGCTGCCAGCAGAGGGCAGAATGTGCCCGATCGGTCCGCCAGCCCTGAGCCCGGCTCTGCGCCCCGGGCTCTGCGCGCCCGAGCCTTGTCCGCCCGGCTTCACCCGCCGCTGCCTCGCCCCGGTCCCAGTCACCCGGCGAGGATGGTCCAGGCCCAGTCGCAGGCCCGGCTTCGGCAGCTCAAGGCCTGGGGTTTCCAGGTTGCCGAAGGAGAGGGGGCCAAGGACTTATGGGAGAACCTCCACATCCACTTATCCGCTGTCCTGGATACAGCCACACAAAGACGCCAAGAAATCAAGAAAAACACGGAGACACAAAGGCACACACAACTCGGAGACTCACGAGCACACAGAATCGTTCGGAAACTCAGAGGGACACACAGACACGCAAAGGTGACACCAAGATAAAAGGATCCCATACACAATACGGAGGGTGAGAGGCATTCAAAGACCTTGGGACCCGCAGGGGCACACACAAAGACCTACAAAACCGCTAACGATATGGAGACTTGGAAGGCCCAGCAGACTCGCATCCAAACACACACGGATGCGGGGGAATCAGACGCGGATTCAGAGTCACATACTCGGAGTCCAGACAGTTGTAGGGACGCAGAGAAACCCTAGGTGCAGAGAGACACGGGTGCACAGGCATGGAAGAACCTCAGAGAAGGGAGCATCGAAACACAGACACACACACACGCGCGCGCGCAGATACCCACCGACATACACGCAGGTACTGGGGTAGGGAGGGAGCTTTCTAATCCTCCACAAAGTCGGGCTCCTCCGCGGGGCCCCGAGGCACAGGGGGCCACTTCTTACCAAGCCTCCCGCAGGCTTCAAATCCGATCCGCCCTCTCGCCTCCAGCGGGGTCAGGGGACCCGCCTCCCTTGCCCTCCGCTCCCGCCCCGCTCCGCGCCGCTGCTCCGCTCCGGGAGGGGCCCGGGCTGCCCCCAGCGGCGCGCAGGGTCAACCTGCGCCTGCCCCCGGGCCGCTTCGGCCCCCCTGCTCCCGGGCGAGCCGTGCCTCCGTGGGGACCCCGGGAGCCGAAGACACAAGCCGACCCGGGAGCGGTGCGCAGCAGCCGGACGCAGCGGCCTGCGTGCGGAGTGCGGGTGCCAGTCCCAATGTGGCCAAGCCGGGCCGAGTCGGCCGCTCATTCTCGCCGGCCTTTCCTTTCCCGGTGCCGAGGCCCACTCTGCCCAGATTGGCCAGGGCCCTGTTCCTGCCGGGCATGGCCTACTGACCCCGGACAGGGTCCCGCAGCCACCCAAGGTAGCTTATATTCCAGCGATCAATCCGGTTTCCTTCGCGCGCTCCAACGCACGTCCTCCGCGACCCTGCGGCCACCACCCTCTACCCCTGCCCCTCATCGCCAATCCTGCGAGGCCAGGAATTGCCTCCACCGCTAGGCGCGATCACTTTCTCACTCCTAACCATCCTCTAAACTCTATGTCGCCTGCAGCCCGGCCTCATCTTTCTGGCCTGCCCCAGTGTTCCCATTCTTCATGCCGGGGGCCCTTCTCGGATCTTCGCTCACCCTTCCACCCACTCTCTGCCAAGTCTGAAGCTTTCCCGTACCCCCACCCCAAATCTGGAGCCAAATCCCACTCCCCCACCGGGTCAGGACTTTGACAAGTCCTGGGCCAGCAGCCCTTCCCTCCTGCCTGCCGGTACCCGAGCTTGGATCCCGGCAGCCAGCCCTCTCCATCGAGCAAACCGGCTCCGGGAAGGCGCCGGCATCCGGGGTGGCTGGGGGTTGGGGGGGGGGGGGGGAGGCGGGGGGACGCCAACTCAGCCCGGTGCGACCTACCTCTGCCGACGGTCGGGGTCTCCCCCGGGCGGCCACTGCGGGTCGGCGCCGTCCCCTAGTGCAGCCGCTGCTCTCCCCGCCGTCCGTGAAGAGTCTGTCCTCGCTCAGGGCCACTCCTCTTAGCGCTGAAGCCTTACAAAATATTAATAATAAAGAAGCCAAGAAGAGGGGAGGGGGAAAAAAAGAAAGAAAGAAAAGCTTTCATTCCCCAACTCCCAAATCAATTTTTCAAGGGGGTGGGGCAGAAGGATTTGTTTCGAAGGTGACCCAAACTTCAGCGAGGGACCCGCGGGGCTCTCGGCCTGGCCCGGGGCGCCCGGGTCCGCACTCGGGGACCCAACGCGGCGCAGGGAGCTCAAGCCGGGGGGCCGCGGGGAGCCCTCCCGCAGGGGGGCGGGGAGGGTTGGAGAGGGGGGGTGGGCAGCGACGGCACTATTTGACGTGGAGCCGCCGGCTCATCCCGGCGCAGGGATACGAGGCGCACCAATGAGTTCAAATGTCAGGAAGTTTGAGGAGCGGTGAGGCGGCTCCCGGCCGGAGTATCCCTCCGCCGCCGGCCCCGCAGCTCTAAACCGAGCGGCTCCTCGGGCGCACCATGGCACTGGGGTAGCGCGGGGAGCGCGCCTGGAAGCCCGCGGCCCGCTGCGCCCCGCCCGGGACCCCGCTGCGCCGCCCGCACGCCCCCCCTTCAGCCCGCGGGGCCGCCCCTGCACCCCCACCCCCTCCCCCGCCCGCCGCCGCCGCCGCCGCCGCCAGCACCACCAGCACCGCCGCCGCCGTCTCCTCCTCCCCGCGCGGCTCCGTCCGCCGCCGCCGCTCGCCGCCCCTGCAGCCCGGCTCCGGGGCTGACAGGCAGGTGACTGACAGAGGAGCCGGCGCGCGTGTCCACGAGTGCCCCGGGAAAGAGCGCGGCGCGGGCTGCAGCCGCCCCGGCCCTCCCGCACGACGCAGGGGCCCGGGGCCAGCGAGTGGCCGCTCCGCACTCGCCGGGGGCAGCCGGCGGCCCCAGCCGCAGCTCCAACCCCGCGGGGGCCGCGCCTCCCCGGCTCCCCGGCTCCCCGGCGGCGGCGGCGGCGGCGGCGGCGGCGGGAGGCGAGCCGGCCGGCAAGCGGGCGGGCAAGCACCCTGGCCGGCGGGGCCCGCAGCGCGCCCCGCGTCCCATGGATATAGCAACAGGTCCCGAGTCGCTGGAGAGGTGCTTCCCCCGCGGGCAGACGGACTGCGCGAAGATGTTGGACGGCATCAAGATGGAGGAGCACGCCCTGCGCCCCGGGCCCGCCACTCTGGGGGTGCTGCTGGGTGAGTGCGGGGTCGGGTCGCCCCGAGTGGTCTATTGGCAAGGGACAGGAGCATCGGCCCTTGTAGGTGGACACGGGGGGTCCAGGCCAACGGATAAAGGCAATGGTGTTGCAGAACGTGGGGGTGTCGGGGACACAGAAGACTCCTGGAGTGATCACCAGAGGGACGAGAGGCATGCCTAGACAGGCATTCTGAGGGGACAGAGGTACGCAGGGACACCCCTAGGAGGAGCGAGGACAGGCACAGCTCCAGCCGCCACCTCCCATCCTCACCGGGCCGCAGTTCTAGAGCTGCTACTCGGGAGGCGGGAGGCAGGAGGCGGCGGCGGGGGTGATGGAGAAGACAAGTCACCTTGGCAAGCTTGGGAGTGGTGCCGGGTCACTTGGGGAGGGGCCGTGTCTAAGAGAGAAATGTTCCCCGGGTCACCCAGATTACAGATTTGGGGAGAGATGTGGGAGAGAAGACAAGGAACGCCACCGTGGGGCGTGCGCCTAAGACCTCACCTCGCCTGTCTCGGTCCCGGCCGGCTGCCCCACGCCGTGTTCGTTCCTCCTCTCTTGTATTACTACCGAGCGCTGAATCTCCGGAGAAGGAGCGCGCAGCGCCGAGCTGAGGCTCCAGGCCCGCGCGGCCTCTCGGCGCCGGAATCCGCCGACCGGGATGAGCTCACTGAGGCTGCCCGGCCCCCGGCGCGGCGGCCGGGGAGGCGCAGGCGGCGGGCGGCGCTCCCGGGCTGCCCTCGCTTTTGGGGCCGGGGGCCGCGGGCACAGCGCGATCGGGACGCTGGGCAGGGCTGGTCGGCGCTGACGGCCCGGCTCTCGCCCTGTGCGCTGCAGGCTCCGACTGCCCGCATCCCGCCGTGTGCGAGGGCTGCCAGCGGCCCATCTCCGACCGCTTCCTGATGCGAGTCAACGAGTCGTCCTGGCACGAGGAATGTTTGCAGTGCGCGGCGTGTCAGCAAGCCCTCACCACCAGCTGCTACTTCCGGGATCGGAAACTGTACTGCAAACAAGACTACCAACAGTAAGCGCCTCGCGTCCTCCTCCTTCCCCGCCGCCGCCCGGCACTCGAGCCCGGCCGCCCTCTGCCCGGCCGGGGCCCGCGTACGCCCTGCAGCCGACCCCGCGCGCCGCTGGGCCCGTCAACTCCAGAGAGAACTCCGCGGGTTGCGCGTGTCCATGCAGGGCAGAACCATCCCGGCCCGGCTAACCCCGGTGGGGTGGCCGGGACCCTCTGGCAGCCCCTAGATGCCATCTTTTTTGTTCGGGAAACCTGCGCTGGGCTGCTCCCGTTGGGGTGCGCAGGAAAGGCCCTGAGCAGAGTTGGGGATACGATGCTGCTGTCGCGGGACCAGGGCCTGGCTTCACGGAGGCCTGCACTGGGGACCGAGAATTGCTTTTTAAGCGAAAGCAGTGCTTTAGGGAGCCGGGCCCTGGCGGTGTGCTTCCCCAACCCCAAGGCAGGGTTTGTGTCGGTTAGGGATTGCTGGAGTAAGGGGGTGGAGTGCCAGGGTGCTGAAGCGCTGGAGCCGTGGGGCATGCCCCCTTTCTGCCAGGCTCCCTGCTGCCTTTTCAGTCCCTGATGGAGAGAAAAGGGTGTGCACCCTCCCCAGACCGTTCCATGCGGGAATCCTGCACACATAATTATTGTTGGCTGGAGACGCTGTCTAGGAAGAGGACCTTAAGAGGTGGCAAACCACAATCTGGGCTCCCCATGGGGTGAGGAGCTGACCAAGTCAGCCTTCCCCAGCAGGCCCTCTTTCTTGCAATGTGTGTATGTTGGGGAGGGCTGGCCTGCTCTGACCTCCTGCAGCCCAAGCCTCTCAGGGTTGGGGCCAGAGACTGGGCAGAGCCCTACCTGCTTGGCTTTTGTTTTTAGCTGAGACTATGGATTTCTTTGGCAGGGGGCGTGGGGTAGATAAGAGTAGATCCAGGTTTTTGTTTTGTTTCATTTCTTTTGATCCTCTGGGTTTTGTGCCTGGTGGTGTGATTAAGAGGGAGGTGGAGGGGAGCAGCAGCAGGAAGAGGGGCATGGGGATGCCCAGGGCAGCGACTAGTGGGTGCCTGTGAGAACTTTGCAGTGACACCCAGAAAACCATTTCCAACAGGGCTATGGGGTGGGTAGGCTGCTCAGGTGGTGTGGCGCTCAGAAGGGGCTGTGTGTGCCCAAGCCTCTGAGACAAGACACTGCGGCCAGTGCTTGGTATCGACAGCAAGGGCAGCCTACCTGCTCTGCTCAGGGACTGTCCTTAATTCCACGCCTTGATGGGAAGGGGAGCAGCTTGCCTGAGACCTGGAAATAGGCTGGACTGCAGGCCAGAGCCCTGGAGAGGGCATCAAGTTCTACTTCACAAGACCCCGGCTGAGCCCTCCGCTAGCGCCTACCCTGTGCTGCCCTGGTCCAGGGGCCCAGCAGGAGCTGCGCTTTGTGCCTGGCTCTTCCTGCCAGCTGGGGGGCCCGGGCCCTGTCCTGAGCCGGCTCTTCTGTGGACCCCAAAGACTGCCCCTCTCTCTGGAGCACCCTGTGCTCCGGACTGATATGATTCTAGTTCCAGAAGAAGGTGAGGCCACCAGTCAGCTCAGCCACAGGCAGGCATAGAGCAGTATAAAGAAAAGGAGGGAAGTAGTGGGAGCTAGGTGCGGTCAGAAGCTTTGGGATGGCCCCAGGGACTGGCCCCTCGGCGGGGCTAAGTCCACATGCATCCTGGGGTCTCTGCCCGCCCAAGCACTGCTCTGGCGGTGCCACTGCCCAGGGCAGCTCAGCCTGGACAACTCAACACGTGGGGGCTGGAGGCCCAGAAAACTGGAAATGGACCTTCAAATCATTTGTGCAAGTTTTGGGGGAAAAAAAAATATTTTTTTTTCTTTTATGTTTTGTAAAGACTCTTTCCAGCCTCTTGTACCCATCTGCCCATCCTCTCCTCCCCACACCCCAGTCATTCATAGCAATTTTCTTTAAACCAGGAGAGGGTGCCCCCTGGTTCTTCAGAGCAGGGAATTGTAAAGTCACACAATTTGAGCTGGGTGATCCTTTAAAGCTGAAAGACGAACTCCCTCATTGTACAAAACAATTAAGCGTTAGACAGCTATTGCTTTGCTGAAAGTATATTTGTTTAAAATAGAAAAAAAGTACCTAAGAGCTTTCTCCCTCAGTGCAGTAGGGGTGTATTTGCGAGTGAATTTTGGGTCAGGGTGAATGAATCTCCAGCGCAGAGTCTAGGTCCTGTGGGCAGCAGGCGGGCATTATTCATACCTCTCATGGTGTCCTCCTCCTTCCCTGCCCCCTCTTTCTTCCAATAATGCCAATTAGGTATCTGCACTAGACTGGCCGGCGGAGGAGGGGGCAGAAAGGGGGATTGTTATCAAGACAATTCTGGGGACAAATCCTCCGGTGGATCTCGCATCAGCTTTTCTCTGGGAGAGCAAGGGCAGAGAGGCAAGCAGGAAGAGATGTTCTTTGCACAATAAAAATGTATTTCACGATTTATTTTTTTCTTTGAGGATCGCAGATGCATATTTATTGCATCTGTGCGTAAATGTTTTTCAGACGAGAATGCAGGCAAGTGGGCACAGAAACGTGCCTTCTTGATTTTGTAGAGTCTGTGTGTCAGCGGTATCGGGAAATTAACACCCCCCCCCAAAAAAAAGAACTTTTGAAAACTGTTTCTTCGCCTTGAGAGGAGCTACAGGGCTCGATCCTTGGAAAGAGGTTCCTATTTTTATTAAGCATCTCTTCCTCCTTCCGATTTATTTTAAAGGTCCGGGACACTCAGAGGCACAACGTTATTTTACGCACCACGGGGGTGATTAATTGACGTTCGGGCGCATTTAATAACGTTTGATAAAAATCCACCCGCACGTCCTCATCCTGCAAAGTGAAGAGTGGGCCACGGGCATTTGGGCATTTTCACGCATCACTCCAAGTCTTCTTTTTCTCACTTAACGTGTTTTGGGGGGTCTCCTTCAGGGGAGAAAAAAAAGCACTGGATCGTTCAGCTGTGCCCCAGGCTTTGGCCCCTCGGCAGTGCGAGCTCCGTTTCGGGTAGAAAATAGGGCTAGAAACCGGGAAGACCCACAGCCTCCAAACACAAACACCCTCTCCTTCCTCCACCCCAGAACACATTTAAAAAATGACATTACCCACCTCCTCATTTTGTTTTTTTCTTTTGCCGCTTAGCCAAATAGAATTATGTAACTCTCTTTTCCTGCCGTCTGTCGTTAGTCTGGAAAGGGTTTCTGTCTTTCTATCCCAAGGAGATGGCGAATTCCGGGAGGAGCCTCCGGAAGGGGGGAGGGTCGTTGGCAGAATCCAAAAATCTGTCACAAAATGGAGCCTAATCGCTTGGAAGACAGCTCCCAGATCTGGCCACCCGAGCCTCGTCGGTGTGAGGCTAGCGGGAGCCTGCGTGAGCTGTGCGCCCACCTCGGCGTCCAGGGCTCGCGGCGCCCTTCGGCTGCCGGGCCTGCCCGGGCGGCCTTACCTCTCCGCCGCGGAGCCCACGCAGGGCCCCTAGGCCTCGGCTGCCCAGGTAGGATGCCCCCACAGCGGCAAGAGTGGGGCAGGACGGCTTTGCTTGAGTTTCACAAAAAAGCTGTCTGAGTCCTGGGGTGATTTTCTTTCTTCTTTTTTTTTTTTTAATTTACCCCAGCTGACTGTGGCTCCAGTGGCCCAACCCCAGTCTTCCCCAGCGCATTCCTTTCCTGGGAAGTGTTTACACCGGGAAGAGCCTTCCTGGGAGATTCACCTCACCGCTGAGCACCGGGTGTGGCGCACGGGGAGAGCAAAGTCAGGCCCCAGCCTTTGCTGGCAGCTGCTTCTCCCTGCTTGGGAGGCCTCCTTTAGGAGGGTGCCAGTTACACCAGGAGCATCCCCTCCACCAGTGGGTACCCCAGCTGGCATGGCTCCCAGCAGACTAGTTTCAGGCTGTGACATCCCTGCCTACAGCCTGGGGTAGAGTAGTGGGCCTGTCCTGGAAACGAATTTCCTTAGAAGGAAGAGCCAGCGCTTTGCCTTATTTGAGAGACTTCTCGAGTGCTCTCCTTGGACATGGAAGGGCGAGGGGCTCCCTCTGCCAGCCCAAATCTAGGGACCTTCTGGCCCCCGGGAGGGCACCTCCTTGATTAACCCCAGCAACTTGGCTGCAGGCGGAAGGGTAAGCAAAGGCCTTCCTGAGGCTGCAGTCTTCCACTGCTGAACGGATGCATTATTCACAGCTGACTCCTGGCTCACCCTGTATTCCCCAGGCTCTGGGCTGGTGTCGCCTAATTTGTTTGCTGGGTTTTTCCCGAGTGGGGAAAGCAGGCTATGAGAATCTCCTCTGGGGTATGTGATTGGTGACCCTCAGCTCCCTCCTGTGTGTCCTTTGGAGCCAGGCTTAGGACCTTAGAGCCCCGACACCTACCTGAGCCTCTTCTGTAAAATGGGGGACATACCCACCTGTGAAGGGAGAAGTATTTTTATGAGGATTGGAGATAACGTGCCCCAGAGGACCTGGCATCTTGCCTGGCACATTGTTAATACTCTGGAAATTATTATTGTTGCTTTATCACCATCAGCATGGCAAGGAATGCCTTGTCTCTGAGGCCACGCACAATACCACCCATGGATTCCATGCCAAAGAGAGGGCAGCTAGCATGCTAGGCTTGTCATAAGGAAGGATGAGGGACACCCCTGGGAAAACCATTCCCTTTGCCTGAGTGGGACACTGAGGCAGACCTGGGTTCACCTCCCAGCCTCAGCACTCAGTAGCTGTGTGATCTTAGCCAAGTGGCTGCCCATCTCTGAGCCAGGGGTTCTCCATCCACAGAACGGAGGTTGTGAGGATTACACCGGGTACCCCAGTGGGGGTGGGAAAGCTTCAGTAAATGTTCCATACTTCATGGGATCCAGTATCCTCTCCTGAACCTCCATAGAGGCAGAAAAGCTTCTGATTACATGAGTGAAAACAAATGCCAACTGTGCATTGTCAAGAAGGGCAGGCGGGCAGCAGGGTGGGCCTGGCCTATTCCTTCTTGTGGGGTGAG